TAATAATTCTCTTACAGTAATCTCCAATCCAGACTGCTGAGTAGGATCATACCTTCACAGCTTTAACAGTTATGCAGCATTAGGTGCTTTTAGACCACCCATGGGGTCAGTTGTCACCAATTAAAATGCAGTTAAACTTACGGACAAAACAATTGGCAGAAACTTCTCAGGGCTGCTATGTTGGAAGATATATGTGAGCAAGCGCGTGTGTGTGGAGTGTGCAGGAATGTCACTCCAGTGCTCTTTTTTCCGAATCTGGTATGATTTTCTCAGGAGCTCATATCTATCTGACCAGCTCACTGATTTAGCACACCAATTATTATTATAAGCACTGAAATAGGTGTGCATGCCAAAGTTGCAAATCCTTTTTCTTGAGGAAAAAAGAAGCAGGATGTCTGTTCTATGTTGATAACACAGTTACTATTTTACTAGGTATTTAAAGGATGCTCTTAACTGGGCTTAACCTAGACCCCCTTTTAAAGCAATATGACCTTGAATGTTTCTCGCACTGGAACTCTCCTACTCTTGCTACTACAATTTTCGCTTATTATGTGTCTGTGCTGCCCAATAGCCAAAGCTTGCCCCATCTGAAATAGCACTCCGATCCATGTTCCAATAAACAGCTTTGTATTAAAGGTATATCTTTCTGTCCCCACAATGAAATGACATCATTAATCCCAGTTATAGTACATTAGTCAAGATAGCATCACCACCCTGTGCTACATTCACGGGTGAGCACACGGAAACATGACATAATTGTCCCGAGATTCTGGCAGACTTGCAATTAAACTACAAAGACATCTTTCCTTTATACAGATGCCCTTTTAAATCTTTTTTAAACTGTTACAGTTTCCATTAATTGAAAAGTAACTGAAGAGGAGCACACCCATCTATCATATTAGAACAATATTTCAAGGATTGCCCAGATATGCTTTGCTAAAGGTACTATTTGAGCAAAAGTTGTGGCCATAAAACAGAGGTTGATTCTGTCTATCAGTACACAAACACTTTATTGTAAGGGAGGGCACCTGAGAGCAACAGCTCTTGCCCTAATTTCATGCAGCCCTCAAAATAATTTCAAAAGCCTTCTGCCTGTGATCCATTCAGCTTTCTGCACGAGCCACTTGCTCCACGGGGAGGAAGAGAAGGGGAGACAGAAGGAAATAGCAGAAAATCAGTGACCCATTCAATTTTGACGTTGTCCACCACTGGCTTCAGCCTGCTCACGACTGACATGCAGCCCAGCCAGATTACCCATATGAGAATATGGCCTTTGACAGAAATGAAAGTTGCCCACTCCTGCTTTATTTGCAGTGTGCTGCCATTTGTGTAAACCTCTAGGAGGTTGGGGTGACTTGGTGTCTCACCATGGGCACTAATGGGACATCCTTTAGAATAAAAATCACAACCACCACAGTCATCGCTCCCTGAAAAGTTGGTTTGTCAAGGGAGATGGATAGCAGCAGTTTAGAACAGATGAGCTACATAGCTATGGGGATCTGCAGAGTAAGAAACTTGGATAAACAGAGCTAATGTTGCCCTGAATCAGGTCTTGCACTACCTGCCTGCTCATGTTTGCTTCATTGCTCCTGCAGTGCATATTCTCCCAATACATAATTCCTTTGCATATTATTCCATACATTCCTTTGCATCAGGATACTCTTCACCAATTCCTGGCCCCACAGAGCCTGTACAGCAGAGATAGGGAACCTTTCTTATTGATTGATTTGATTTGATTTGATTTGATTTGAATATCACCCATTAACCAAGACAGTTCTCTTTCTTAGCCCAAGTGCCAAGTTAACTCCAGGAAAGTGCATTGGAGCCACATGTCAGCAGTGGGAACTGCAGCATGTTCCTCCATGTTGCTCCAGTAGGGCTTGGTTCCTATTCGCACACTTACATAACACCATAAGGCACATGGTTCCCCTCTTGAGAATGTCCCCTCATGCATTGCAATTAGGCTTGCATCTGCACCATTGGCATTGGCCTCAAAACAGGATGGTGTTTCCTCACTTGCAAAAGTTAGTAAGAAGGGAAATCCAAACATGGAGAATCAGGATGTGGTGCTGACCTTCCTTGTTGGTACCCAGGCCCAGCACTGGGTAAAGTGGAAGTGGTAACTTCAAATGCTAGGAGAGGGCAACAAGGTCTTAGAGAAGGGAACCTTTCATCATTTTGCCTGCCAAGCACTTGGGCAGCAGACTGACCAAGGCCCACAGATTACCTGGTCTTGGCCTTCCATACACTGAGATTAGATGTGCAGTTTTTCTGTTTATAATTACATCTAAAATGACGTATTTCCAAATAAACACAAATCAGCATGTGCAAATTATATGCAAATCAGTATCCTTTTTGGGTCCTGTTTTTTTAGTGATACAAAGTCCTCCCCCACTGGCAATTCACAAGTGGCTACACTAGATAAGTTAGTGTCTAGGAAGAACTTTGCCATGTATTTCTCTGCATGTTTGGTTAAATTCTATGCAAATGGAAAGCCTGAAAAATCAGGGCATCCAGTCACAAAGGGCAAGCTGCATGCAGGTGCATGTTACAGAAACACATTCCAACAAATGGAAGGCAGGGGGCAGGTTCTGCTGCTGCCCAGCCTCTGTACCTTCAATGTACACCTGAAGAGAAGCCTTAAAATATGAAAGAGGCTGGAACTTTTCATGAATTCTACTCCAATGCAAATGCATCATTAAATTCACAATAGTTGCTGCTGTGTGAAAGATGATTATATACAACAGCTGTTCAGATTTTATCATGACTAGGAAACAAGCATAATGTAGTGTATACTACTGACAATTTCAACTTAGGTTTTTATAAACCTTTCTGCATGTAACCTTTTGTAAATGCCCTTGCCTGAGGCAGAACATTTTTATAGCAATGAATGCATTCCTAGGAACAAGTTTGAACTAGTAGGCGTGATTATGCAAAGGGCAAAAAAATGATGTGTCAACATTCATACTTGATATTGCAAGATGATGTATTGCTTATGAACACTGTGTACAAGTGCTTACCATGTAGATGCATATTTGTTTCACTTCTATACTTGCATTAATAGGCATAAGACATGCCCTAGTAATATATTTTGTAGGTTTCATTGTAACTGAATCATCTATAGGCAGGCATGGTAAAATCTGGATTACCAATTCAAGATAAATAATGTATAAACAGTCACTCACCAGCTAAATTATATATAGCTGAGAATCCAGCTGAGATGAAGTTGCAATTACAGGAAAGCATGTTATTTGAGACCATAAACCTGAGATTATGACCAACAAATCACAGTTTCTAGCAGGAGTTTATCTTCTTTTTTGGCATTATTTTCATCCAATAATTTTAAACCCTTTTCAGTTCTGGTTGCCACTGGCTGGAATTTTGTTGTCCAGGTTTGCTGCTAGACCTGGACCATGAAAAGTCTGTAAAAGTTCTCCACTTCTGTGTGCTTGGGCCACATTGCATTCTTGTAAGGTGTATGCTCTCCCATCATCATGGACCATTCCTTCCTCTCCCATTCCATCAGTGGTACAATCCAGCCCCACATGAGGACAGCACATCAGAATCAGGCCTGATCTTTCTTTATTGCATTTATTTCCTGCCTTTCTACCAAAAATGGCCCTTAAGGCATGCACTTCTTATTTGCACAAATACGCAGTGCCAATTCTTTAGATAATTTGAAGGAATAGATCATGGGACTTCTCTGCCATATGTTTAGGATTGCATGTATCTAAATTAATGTGCAAGACCAGGTCAAGCCTCTAAAATAGTATTCATAACAGCCTCTTGAAAAGGGAAAGGATTCAGAGGAGGGAAAAAGGGTGATCTGGGGACTGGAAACAAAACCCTCTGAGGAGAGAAAACTGGGTATGTTTAGCCTGGAAGACTGAGGGGAGATAGGATAGCACTGCTCAAGTACTTGAAAGGCTGTCACACAGGGGAGGGCCAGGATCTCTTCTTAATCATCCCTGAGTGCAGGACACAGAATAACAGGCTCAAGTTCCATGCATGAATATGTGAACCAAGCTGAGAAAGGGTGAATGTAACCTGTGAACAGTAGGAAGTGTACAAACATCTAAGAGAGATGTATATAAGGAAACCACTTGTGAATTGCTCCCTGCAAGTAGCAAGAAAAGGGCAAGCAGCACCAAAAAAAGAGGCAGTAGGAGCATGTCTTTTTGCTTAAAGTTTGCACATGCTAATATTTATGGCCAAAAGCAGATGTAGAAATAACTTTTATACTTCAGATATACAATACAGCTCCCCATCACGTGGGAGGCTGTGAAAAGCTGAAAAGCTTTGCTCCATCTGCTGTCCACTGCCTGACGGGCACCTTCTGAGCTTTCCACCAGGCCTTGGACAGGACACCCCTTCAAAGCATAGGATACCTTCAAGTAGGGGATGGTCCTCAGACAGCCCTATGGAACCTACATGGCCGGAGGGACATGGAAAGGGGAGGGCAGCGACTCACTTTGATGCGAGCCCAGTTGACTTTTTAACCCCAAGACATGGACACAGGGCGAGGCTCTTTTGACTCACTTCCACGGCCCCTATCTATCCACGTTACTGAACTACCGAGTGAGCAAGCCCTGAACACTCGTGTTGCGCACGTGAAAACGCGGCAACAATGCTCGACACGCGGCACTGCGCTCGCGTGCGCGTGAGTGCTGCGTCGTGGGGGCGGGAGAGCCAGAGGGGGAGGCGAGGCAAGCGCGCACGGCTGCAGCAAGCCACTTTCACAGACCGCGCTGCGGGCAGGCGCATGCAGCAGCCGCCGCCGCCGCCGCTTCCCGTGCGCTTGCTGGCAGCGTGCGAACAGGGCCCCTGCGGTGGCGGCGGCAGAGGCAGCAGCAGGGCGGGACTTGGCCTGAGGGGCCCCTGACTGACACACGGCATTGCGCGAAGAGGTTGCACGTCGCAGCCTCGCCAGAAAGTGGGGCGGGGGCAAAGAGGAGATGGGGAAGGAGGGCGGGCCAGAGAAGGAACTACTGCAAAAGTGAAGAAAGTCCTGCGCAGCTGTTTGCGAACTTTTAAGATTTCCTGTTTCCCCTGCAGGCAGGGCTGAGGCGGAGGGGAGTGAGTCACACACACACTCCCAGGAGCAGCCGAGGCGCAGCTGCGCTGGCTGCCTCCAGCGGGGCCTCTTGCCACACTTTCTCCTTCTCTCTTTCTCCGTCTCCTGGACTCCCAGTTGCCTCCGAGCCACTTTGCAGCCCCCCGCCCCGCCCACAAGCCCCAGAGAGGAGCCCCCGGGCCGTCTCTCCCTCCTTGCCCGTCCGCCGCCGCCTCAGCGTACCGAAAGGGACGTACGATGAGCTGGATTCCTAGGCACGTTTTGTTCTGGACTCTGCTGCACAGCACGGCGCACCCGCTGGTTCGGGGGACAGGTAAAAACCGCTCCTTTGCTATCGTGCCTGGGGAAAGTGGCTCTGTGTGTTTTCCGAAGAACTCTTTCTTTCCCCGTCGCCCCCCGGTACTTGCCAAGCCTGGAAACGGCACGCGTAAACTGCGCTCCAGAAGCAGGGCAGAAACTTTGGAGATGGCAACGCCGCCCCCGCCCCAAACTGTAAAAGGAAAAGAAATCCGATTTTTTCTTGTGGTTTTCTTCTCTCCCCTCTTTGAATGCTGGGGAGTAGTGCTGCCACCAATACAAATTTGAAACTAGCTGTGATCAACTTCGACATTTGCACGCCCCACGAAGGTGTCGTTCGGAAGTTTGAATCCTGGCCTTGGGTTATCTGTCAGTGAGTCCCTTCCTTGTCTTGACCCCGCGCCAGCTGTGCCACACCTGGCCTAGCATGAGATGCTCTTTTGGAAGTCAGTGCCTGTTTTGGAAGTCAGTGGCATGGCAGTAGATAGGCTGGGGATTCCATGCCCTATAATAGAGAAACTCTATCATCTCTTCATGTTTTCTGCTTTCTAAACCTCCCCAATCCCCCAGTAAATCCCAGTGTTGAAGCTCAAAGCTTGGACATGTAACACCATGATTCAGAACCTAAGAACACTTCCATTAGAAATCATAGATAAAAGGGTGCTGCATTGTTGCCTGTCATTAGCATGCTTTTTGGAAATGAATGCACATGGTATTGTTTTTCTTGACAGGGTAAGGTAGTTGCCCCTATTGTGTTTGGCAACAGGGATGCTGAAAGCAGTAGGCCGGTGAGTCCATTGTTAAAACTGTGATGCTCAACAGATGTAGATGCAAGCACAGTGAGCTGAAAACAGTAGTTTAGTGTTGCTGCGCAGTTTCAAGTTTTCTCCTTGTTTTGCTTTCTGATCTGGTTTTGAGTGGCTCTCTGAACTCATTTGATAAATTCAGTGCAAGAGCATTTCAAAGAGTGGACTGATGTGCAAAGTATTTTTAGTGCATGAAAATGTTTTGGTTGTGGGTACCAGTGCTGTGAAGTAGTGTCATAGGTAGAAGATTTATGCTCCCTTTCAGTTACTGCACAGTTTAACTGTTTTCACTATACAGGTTCAGGGGTTTTTTAAATATGGCTTATTGTACACATCTGCATGTATTGTATTGGACTTTAAGCACAAGTTGAAAAATAGGCCACTAACAGCATCTCAAGCGCCATTAAAACTTGCTGCCCTTTCTCCCTTGTTGCCTGCTATTCCTAAAACTTAAAATGCCATCCTATAGTCAAAGCTTTCCAGGACATATATCCATCCCACCCCCCCTTCAGATATCTCTCCAAAATCTGTTTGAAGCCTAAGAGCATCTAACTGCATTCATATTAATTTCTGGTCACCCTAAACTTTTCTTCACTTTTCCTGCCATCTTCCCACAGAAATTGTAAGCTCTGAGGGGCAGGGACTTGTCAACTTGCTTATGTTAATTCTCTAGAGTACCATGTTCATGCAAGTCGGAGCTTTTACTGGAAGCAAAAGTGACAAAACTGAAGCTGTCATACTTGGGGCACATCGTGAGAAGGCAAGACTCCCTGGAGAAGACAATAATGGTAGGGAAAGTTGAAAGCAAAAGAAGGAAAGGAAGACAAAATAAGAGATGGATTGAATGCATAAAGGAAGACACAACCTTGAATTTAGTAGAGCTGAGCAGGGCTGTCATAGATAGAACATTTTGGTGTGTTTTTTATTCATAGGGTTCTATAAGTCAGAGCTGGCTTGGCAGCATGCAGCAACAAGCCATGTTCATTGATGGTCCTTTATAAATATGGTACACCAGTACTTTTAGTAGAGCTACTTTCCTATGTAGATCTACTTAATGAGGAAACCCAGCCCTTAGTAGCATTCATATTTTAGTGATGAAGGCAAAATGCTGTTAATAAGAAACTAAAATGCAATGCTGGAAAAGAAATGAATATATTAAGATGACATATCTTAACATTCAGATAACTAGTTTTAGTGGAATTAAACAATAATCTGTAAGGTGTTGCTAAGTGTTTTTAGAAACACACTTAGCAACTTTTAACTGCTTTGTAGGTGAACACAAATTTGGCCTAGTGATTATAGCTTTATAATGTTTGTACCACTTAAATCTTGATCATGTAGGTTCCTATGTACTTGAGTACAATATTAGCCAATTCAGTCCATGTGCTTAACCCTTAAAAGTTATAACTAGCTGCAGATGATTGATAAGATAGCAAAAAAGATGTCTTTATGGAGTAAGTTGCCTATGTTGTCAAGTCTTTGCAAACAGTAGAAAAGAGGCAATTGAAGGCCAGATCAAAGGGATAATACGCTTCTGTCTGTCTGTCTGTCTGTCTGTCTGTCGGTATGCATTTTGGAAACTTTTCCAGTTCCCTTTAACATACCTCCAGGAAAGTTGTTGTAAGAAAGAAGAGCCTTTTGAGCAGGATTCAACCCAGGAGTGGCACTTTTTGTTTGGATTGTGCCAAATGTACCTTAGAGCTAGCATTTTTAAGTACGGTGACCTAATGATAATGATAATCTAACTTATCTTTGGCCCTAGAATTCATTTACCACAATATCTCTCTGACTGAATAAGTGACTTTTAATAGTTTTCAATATGACTTAAACATGTGAAGAGAACTTACTGTATCTTACATTTAAAGTAAATTATATCTGCAAAAATAAGACTTTTTAAGCGATTTTTGGAAAGGAACCAATCAATATTTTAGCTATTTTAAGAAGTATGTGTGCCACAACTGTTTTGCAGAATAGGTCTGAATGCTATCTATTAGAATTCTGTTATTTAATTATTATTTTATTATTGTTTATGTTTTAAAATATGCATACTTACCTATAGCTGTTAAGCTCGTACACTGATTTGACAAACTAATTAAAAAACTACATATTCGGTTATGAATGATCTTTAGACAATAAGATTTTACTTGAAATATTAAATAGACTGGGCCCAAAGAAAGATTGACTGGGTAAAACTCTCCTCATCAAATATTACTCCAAACTGCAGTGTTACAGCTTTGTAAGATAGTATGGCAGTTACAGATTCGTATACAAGGGAAATAGCGTGCTTTCCTATATATTCTGAAGTTTATGTGGAAGATCTTCAGTTTTGCCATATATCAATCCTGATTTATGTAAATTCAGATGGCGGGTAATTTGTTAACTGAATTAGAAAGCATTTTAAGATCACCTAAATGCAAACTGGATCTTCGCTAGAATATTTTGATGTCTCATAATTTACAACATGTTTTTCACTGTTTTGATTCTGGAATAACATCACCCAGCAACCCTTGTGTGTGTAAAGGACTTCTTTAAAAGAGCAAAAGCAACTAACAACAAGGCCGTGTGCGGTGTGAGATAGCCAACGAAACGCCGAGTGTGATTTGAGATAGCTGTGGTGGGTGGGACAGAATTTGGACATTGGTCAAATTCTGATCTGTTTGTGGGAATATGAATCATTCTTTTCTCCTATCATCCTTTTCCTCCCATAACTCCAAGTAGTAGGTCAGGCTTGGGATTGAGTTGCAGACCCAGTAAACCCTACTGGTGGCTATGCAAGGTGTTATTGCCAAATTCACCAGTTGCAGTAAATTTTCTGTAGAGACAAACTGTTTAATGGTTAGTTTAGCAATTTCATATCATGGTTTCTGATGCTGGTTTGTTTAAACTAACCACAGTTAATGTGAACCACTGTTCATGGTTTGGACAACATGGAAAGTTGTGGCTTAACTAAACAGAAGCTGAAATTTTCCAAACTTCTCTTCTTAGCTATGCGAGAGGTTAAAATATAATGAGTATCATTCTTGGTCACAGTAAAGTGAGGTTCAGCATGCTGTGCATATGTAGCCTTTGCCTTTAAACATACACTCAACAAATTGAATCTGTCAATTATGGAGTATGGAGGAATTTGGGGTTTTCCTGATGTTTGGGCCTTCAACTCCCATCCTCCCTCATCATTTGCCATGCTAGCTTGGGCAGATAGGAGTTGTAGGCCAAAAGACTAGAAGATGCCCACTTCTGGTTGATAAAAAGAGCATTTTTCAGAAACCCCTGAGTTCTTACCATTTCCTTTAACTAAAGAGATATTAGAAAGCTCTAATAACCATATTTAGATAGAAGATCAGCCAGAGTTACCCATTAGGAGCCAAACTATTTTTGGCAGGGAGGTAAGGGTGAGTTTTCCTGTATGTGGATAGTCTGTGTGGCATAAAGCCCATCTGCCTACTGTATCTTTCAAGTCATCACTTTTTCAAGCTATGTGGCTATAGAAAAGTGAGACCTTTCTGTAAATTGCTATTGTTATTTATTTGTATTTGTATTTGTATTTTATATTATATATTTATATATATTGCACTTTGAGCTGCCCTTTGAGCCTCCAGCTATGGGGTGGCATACAAATGCAATAAATAAATAAATTTAAAAGCACTGTGGCAAGGATGCAGTTTACCAATTAATGTGGTATGACACAAATAATTTAGCAGAATGGTTTTGGAATGTTGAGAAATTGACACTGACATTTTCAGGAAAAGGATTTATGTTCCTGACTTGTGTTTTGTGAACTGTGTTTATACATACCATCAGCTTCCTTTTTCTTCTTGGAATGTGTGGCATTTTTCCTCTTGGAATGTATGGCATTCCTCTTCATCTTGAAATGTACTGCATTTTAATTTGGAGAAATGAATTATGTCAGTTCTAAGTAAGTCTGCCTATGGCTGTAGAGCCAAATACACCTAATAGGGAGTAAGCCACACTAAGCACAGTGAAATTTCTAGGTAAAGATGCATAAGATTGTCCCACAAGTGCTGAACCATATTTCACTTTGACTGACTTTTAGTCAAACGGGATTCTTTTGGAAGCAACACAGCTGGCAACTTTTTCCTGGCTTTTATCCCTGGGTAGCCTCAGTGAGATTAGATAAAAACGAACCACAGTTTGCCTCCTATTAGTGTAAGACTACCAGAGCATTTGAGTAATCTATGGAATATCCAGTGTA